TTACTTTAAAAAATAAAAACTAAATAATTAAAAAAAAAAGTCATATTTACTTATTAAAAAAACATTAAATAATTAAAGAAGAAAAGAACGAAAATAATGGCCAAGGACCAATCCTGAGCCCATGGGGAGTTCATAATCGCGTTGGGTGGCCCTACCTATGTAATAACCCAAAAAAAAAATTATTAAAAAAAAAATTATTAAAAAAAAAATTATTAAAAAAAATTGTCCTCCACTTCATTTTATCATCTTAATTGAACGGTTCGAGCCAATCGGGGGAGTACACTGCCTAATAGCTTAAGGTCAGCATTTTGGCTAACTCGACTTGGGTTTGATATGTTCGGACCCTTTCTTTGGTTCGTATGACTACCTTTTAGCTAGTTTAATACTTGAATTCATCATCGGGGTGGTGGGCTTGGACTTGGACTTGGACTTGGGACCTCGTTTAATACTTGAATCCATCATAGAGGTGGGCTTGGACTTGGACTTGGGACCTATTGTTAGTTTAATACTTGAATTCATTATAGAGTTGGGCTTTGGACTTGGACTTAGGACCTATCGTTAGTTTAATACTTGAATCCATCGTAGAGGTGGCCTCTCGACAAAATTGGATGTTTAGTGTTTCTCTACACATGACTCACACGTGTGAGCGTGAGTCCCTAGGCGGTTCGCACTCCCTGGACTGGACCCATTATAGTCGGGCTAGTTGTTCGTAGTTGGATGTCCGAATGTCAGCAAACCCCCGAATATCATGTAAGGCATGATGATGATCATTATCATCATAGTGTACGCGTCCCTACTCATCATCATAAATCGGAAAGTAATCCGATGTATATGAGCACAGAATATTATGAGGTCCCTATAATTTTCATTTTTAAAATCGTTCTTAAGACACAACTCTATAATCATTCACATGTTACCGCATGGCATTAGCCTTCATATGTCATAAACATCAATTAGGGTTGTGTCTTAGAAAACTCATCTTCATAACTAGGATTGTTACATGGTCGAATTTTGCATACGAATAAATCAAGGTATCTCATGTGACATATATAGTTTAGATAAACGACTTATTTATGGTTCGTAACGACCAATAAACTTGTTTACACAAAATATAACAGCATAATAAAGTGACCCACATGAGAATTATTTATTTAAATTTGATTAGAAACATGGCATTGGGTTAAGAACGAGGGGGGTTTTCTTGTGAACAGTGAGCCCATCTTCTTCTTCAACGCTCAATTCACAGCCACTGGGAAGCTTCCAATCAAACCAATGGAGAAGATTAGCCAATGTTTGTTCAAATGAAGCAGCCCCAAATGACAATCCTGGGCACTTCCTTCTCCCACTCCCAAATGGAATAAACTCATAGTGCTGGCCTTTGTAATCCATAGATCTATTATTCATAAACCTCTCTGGAATGAATTCGTTTGGATTGAGCCAATATTCGGGATCCCTTTGAATTTTCCAGGCGTTCACAAAAACTCTTGTTTTTGATGGAATATGGTAGCCATCGATCTCCACATCTGCTGTTGTTTCTCGTGGCACTAGCAGAGGACCTGGCGGGTGGAGCCTTAGAGATTCATTTATGACGCAATGCATGTACTCCATCTTTTGAATATCTTCGGCTTCGATCTTTGATTTCTTTCCTATTATTGTTCTTACTTCCTTTTGGGTTTTCTTCTGGCTGTTGGGTTTCCCATCAGCTCTGTCATTGTCCACTCCAGTGCCGTCGCTGTTGTGTCACTTCCTCCAACAAACATATCCTGAAATCCAAGATCAAAAGTGGGTTACTCTAAAATTTTCCAAAAGGGATGAAATTCTTGCCCAAAAAAAAAAAAAAAAACAAAAATCAAGAGATATATGTAGTGTAACAGCTTAAGCTCAGAGCAAACGGATATTATCCTCTTTGGGCTTTTCCTCCTCGGCTACCCCTCAAGATTTTTAAACCTTATAAAGAATGTTTCGTTTCCCTCTCCAACCGAGGTGGGATCTCACAATCCACCCCTCTTTGGGGCCCAATGTCCTCTCTGACACTCGTTCCTCTCTCCAATCAACGTGGGATCTCACAATCCACTCGTCTTTGGGGCCAGCGTCCTTGTAGGCACACTGCCTGGTGTCTGGCTTTGATACTATTTGTAACAGTCTAAGCCCACCGCTAGGAGATATTATCCTTTTTTGGGTTTTCCCTTTTGTGATTCCCTCAAGGTTTTTAAAACTGGTCTGGTAGAGAGAGAGGATTTCATACCCTTGTAAAAAAATGTTTTGTTCTCTTCCCCAACGACGTGGGATCTCACACAGGAATGAGAAAGGCCATATAGGTTAAATGGACATCGATACAAAAAGAAAACAAGAAACAAACCAGTAAGATTGCTTTGAGGCTGTCGGGACAGAAAGGATAGTCAACCATGTCATCGTGTTGGAGCTGCAACATGATATCCACAAAATCCTTCTTAGGTTCATCAGTTCTAACACCATCTCTTATCTTTGCCTTGTGTTCTTCAATCACTTTACTAACAAATGTATCCAATATTTTGGAACAATCTTTCAACTCCTTATTGAACCCTCTAATAACATCAATCCACCAAAGACAAGGAAAAATATCAGCTACACAAAACGTCGCGACTAGCACCATAGCCCTTCTGACTGTGTCCCCAAATCGACTATCCCCATTTTCATCCTCAAATTTCTCTCCCAAAACACATCTCGACACTATATTGTTCGAGGTTTGAAAGAGTAACTGGCTAAGATTCACACCCTCACCTCCCACACATGCCTTACCAACCCTGTCAATGAGCCCACCAACTTCCTCATCCCTTACGTACTGAAAGGAATCCACTCTATTGACACTAAAAAGCTCAAGAGCGCACACTTTCCTGGCTTGTCTCCAATACTCACCATATTGAGTAAAGGTAATGTCTTGACATTGGTACAGCAATTCCTGTGCGGCAGTAGTTTGGGGCCTGTTGGAGAATATGATGTCATGGCTCTTCATCACTTCTCTAGCCATTTTTGCTGATGAAACCACAAGGGCTTGTGTCTGGCCAAGCTTTAGGAGCATTAGAGGGCCATGTTTGTTAGAAAGAGCTGCCATGGATTGGTGTGGCAGGGCACCTAATTGGTGGAGGTTGCCTATGATGGGTAGCCTTGGTGGTGAAGGAGGTAAGTTGGGTTTCTTGCGTTTGAAGAGCTTTAGTAGAACTATGAAGAAGAAGAAAAGGCATAGAGAAAAAGAGATGGCATTGAGAGCTTGAAATTGTTGCTGGATCTTCGTTTTGAGATCCATTTTCTCCTTTGCTGGCTTGTTTGAGAATTTCTCGAGTTCTTTTTGGCCTTTATTTATAGATGTTAAATAATTTAAAATACCCTTCAACTCTATATTTTTATTAATTACAGACTCTAAATTTATTAGCAACTAAAATTGGCTAACCTCTTCTTTTCATCCTTTTATCAACATTTATCATAATTATCATGTTTTTATTATAGTATTAAATATCACCTCGATAACCATATAATATTAACTATATTTTAAGCTATATAATCTCAGCTAAAATGTTACAAGTTTGAATTAAAAAGAGTTTCAAACATGAATTTCAATTATTTAAAATTTAAATTTTTTATAAAACAATTTGGTAAATAAAGTTATTTTTAGCCAAATTTAAAACAAAATAATTAACTAATTTAAAGAGAGAGACAGAGATGTTTTGCTAAAAATTAAACGGAAAGCAAATAGTAAATTTTATAGTAAATTTAAAATTTGAGTAGTTGACGTTAGCGTAAAGATAATGATAATAATTAATGCCTTAGTTTTCAATATTTAAATCTCTTTTATTATAATAATAATTAATAATAATAATAATAATTATTATTATTATTATTATAATAAAAGAGATTTAATTCCTGAAAGTTGAGGACTTCCCACCACCCGTGACATCAAGTAAGAAGATTGTGGACTATTAAATTCTAAGTACAGGCAGCTAGCTTCTTAAATCTGGACCTAATCATCTGTTTAGTAGTAAGACAAATAAAATTTTGTGACTAGAGTAGAATTTATGATACTTTTAGGTAAGAACTCTACCTTAAGTTGTGAATGGTTGAATGGCGAGAACATAAAGTGAGCATGCACAAATATATATAGAATAAACATGTATACAAAGTTAATTTACCAACGAAAACAAACCAAACAAAACATAATAAAGACAAAACACCCAAAGTTAATAACATATTGACTACATGAGAAGTATGAGAAGTTTGTTTGCATTCATCTTTTTGTCTATAAACTCTATAACAAAGATGGTTTTCAATCAAAGCTCGAGTGTCACGTTACTTCAGCTAAGAACAAAAATCTACTAATCTAAAGTCATGGAAAGCTAAAAATATATGTAGTCATGTTTTTTTTTTGTCACTCAAGTTCTTGTATTAAGAAGTGGGTAAGTGTTTTGGTTTTGTGGATTGGAGATAACGCCATAAGAACTAGAGTTGATTTCTTGGAGTTATGGGCTCATAGTGGGTGGTTGCTTAGTTGAAATAAGATTCAATACTAGTGTGCACTTGGGCGTGTACTCATCACCTATCATGAAGGCTTCTTTGAGATTCCACATTGATTGGAGAAAAGAATGAGTGTCAGTGAGAACGCTGGGTCTCGAAGGGGGTGGATTGTGAGATCCCATACCGATTGAAGAGGGCAATGAAACATTCTTTATAAAGGTGTGAGAATCTCTCCCTAGCAGATGCGTTTTAAAAGCCTTAAGGGAAGTGTGAAAGGAAAAAGTTCGAAGAGGACAGTATCTGGTAATAGTGGGATTGGGTTGTTACTGCCTCAACCCGCGAATCACATGATTTAGTAGGTTTGCATAAACCATGTTTTGAAGTTTCTCAAAACTCTTTTGACTGTTGTAATGGAGTGGGATTCTACAAATATTGACTCAATCTCTGGATGTGTACGTGTTACATATTGTAGAGCCCCAGTTGCACTTTTATAAACTATAGGATTACTCATTTAGCCATCATGTGCTGTACGATTGGAGTAGGACAAGTCTTAAGAGTACAGATCATTCTCATATCTATGAACACCGACATAGGTTCTGGATTATTTCACTCATTTGACAAAGCTTTATGTTTGTGTTGGCCAAGAAATTCCAGTATTTAGATATAAAAAAACACCGGTTTTAGACCTTGTCTGCATCAGATAATTAGATCGATTTGCTTTTTTCCATGTTTTCTAAGGCTTCTCCAACTTCTTTCGTGTAATCTGGAACTGAATCTCAACATGTGATCAACCCATTAGCCTTAGACATTAAACTATTAACAGTAGGAGACATAGCTGATGTGTTTGAGCTGAGGTCGTGGTATAGCTCAACTGATAGAGACCTTCCTTAAGTACCTGTGTTGGCGTTACTTCCGTTGTTGCCTTGTTCTTGACAAAACAGTCATTTCTTGAGCTAACAGTTATAAGGTTTTGAGTGATTTGAAGAATTTTTTTGAGTAAGCAGATTCCGCAGTAGCCCCAAGAAAGATAGTGGAGAGTTGACAGATATGACTTTAAATAAATATCGAAATCGTGAGAATTAGCATGAAGGTTCTAGATCCAAGTGGTAGTATCAGGACTCTTAACTATTGTTCTCGAGAATTGACATGGTTTGGCCCATTCCTCAGTTAAGAGGCTCTCGGGAAGAGAGAGAAAACAGGTGAAGAAGACGATTGACTCGAACCCGGGTTGGATACCCATCTAACAACTGAATCCCAAATTAAACCTTGGGCCACGTACAACCCCTAGAGCAACTCATGGCTCAGACGTAATCCACGGCCCAAACACGATCCGCGCACCCGTTATAGTGACTTGACCTACTTTGAGTCCTGATACTACCACTTAGATAGTAAAAAACTAGGTAGTTACATAGCCGAATAAATCCAAGTCTCTCATGTGATAAATGACTTATTTATGGTTCACAACGACCAATAAACTTGCTTAAACAAAATACAATAGTATAACAAAGTGACCCACATGAGAATTATTTATTTAAATTTGATTAGAAACATGGCATTGGATTAAGAATGAGGGGGGTTTTCTTGCGAACAGTGAGCCCATCTTCTTCTTCAACGCTCAATTCACAGCCACTGGGAAGCTTCCAATCAAACCAATGGAGAAGATTAGCCAATGCTTGTTCAAATGAAGCAACCCCAAATGACATTCCTGGGCACTTCCTTCTCCCACTCCCAAATGGAATAAACTCATAGTCTTGGCCTTTGTAATCCACTGAACGGTTATCTATAAACCTCTCTGGAATGAACTCGGTTGGATTCTTCCAATACTCGGGATCCCTTTGAATTTTCCAGGCATTCACAAAAACTCTTGTTTTTGATGGAATATGATAGCCGTCGATCTCCACATCTTCTGCTGTTTCTCGTGGCACTAGCAGAGGAACTGGCGGGTGGAGCCTCAGAGACTCTTTTATGACACAGTGAATATACTCCATCTTTTGAATATCTTCGGCTTCGATCTTTGATTTCTTTCCTATTATTGTTCTTACTTCCTCTTGGGCTTTCTTCATGGCTGCTGGGTTTCCCATCAGCTCTGTCATTGTCCACTCTAGTACTGTCGCTGTTGTGTCACTACCACCAACAAACATGTCCTGCCATTCAAGATCCAAAGTAGTTAGTTAGTTAACCGCTTTGAAAGGTTAAATGGACATCTTGTACAAAAAGAAAACAAACTAGTACGATTGCTTTAAGGGTTAAATGGATAGAAAACAAACCAGTATGATTGCTTTGAGATTGTCGGAAGAGAAATTATAGTCAACCATGTCGTCCTGTTGGAGCTGCAACATGATATCCAAAAAATCCATTTTAGATTCATCAGTTAGAACACCAGATCTTATTTTTTCCTTGTGTTCTTCAAGCACTTTGCTAAAGAATGTATCCAATGTTTTGAAGCAATCTTTCAACTCTTTATCGAACCCTCTAATAATATCAATCCACCAAAGAGAAGGAAAAAGATCAGCTGCACAAAACGCCACAATTAGCACCATAAGCTTTCTGGCTGTGTCTCCAAATCGACTATTCCCATTTTCATCCTCAAATTTCTCTCCCAAAACGCATCTGGACACTATATTGTTCGAGGTTTGAAGGAACAACTGGCTAAGATTCACAGCCTCACCGCACACACTAGCCTTACGAATCCTGTCCATGAGCCCACCAACTTCATCATCCCTTACGTACTGAAAGGAGTCCACTCTTTTGACACTGAAAAGCTCAAGAGCGCACACTTTCCTGGCTTGTCTCCAATACTCCCCATAGTGAACAAAGGCAATGTCTTGACATTGGTACAGCAATTTCTTTGAGGCAGTGGTTTGTAGTCTGTTGGAGAATTTGATGTCATGGGTCTTCATCACTTCTTTAGCTATTTTTGGTGATGAAACCACAAGGGCTTGTTTCTGACCAAGCTTTAGGAGCATGAGAGGGCCATATTTGTTGGAAAGAGCTGCCATGGATTGGTGTGGCAGGGCACCTAATTGGTGGAGGTTGCCTATGATGGGTAGCCTTGGTGGTGAAGGAGGTAAGTTGGGTTTCTTGCGTTTGAAGAGCTTTAGCAGAACTATGAAGAAGAAGAGAAGGCATAGAGAAAAAGAGTTGGGATACAGAGCTTGAAATTGTTGCTGGATCTTCCTTGTGAGATCCATTTTCTCTCTAGCTCGCTTTCTTGAGGATTTCTGAGCTCTTTTAGCCTTTATTTATAGTTGTCTGCGGGTATCGGGTGTCACACCCAACGCATCTATCCTTATTAAAAATGCTTCACTCCAATCCACTTTTTGGGAGTCAGCGGGTATTTCACCAAATGTCACACTCCTTAAGAACCAGCGTCCTCATTAGCATACCACTAACTAGTGTCACACTCCTTGGAGCCCAACATCCTCACTAACATACTACTCAGTGTCATACCCCTTCAGGGTCTAGCATTCTCATTGACTTACCAAACTGTGTCACCATTTGTAACAATTTAAGCTCACCACTAACCGATATTATCCACTTTGGCTAGACGTATTGCTGACAGCTAATAAAATACAATAGTAATAAGGACAAAATTTGAAGTAAAAGAGGGTAAAATAACAAAACTGAAAAAAGACACAAACTTTACAAACAAACAAAAGGAAATAAAACTAAACACCTTATACCAATCAAAACAACATTAAAATATATGTCTGACGGATAATATGATTCCTAAAAAAAAATATTAAAATAATTAGTATGACACATCTATTATCCTGTCTTTATAAATTATTAAATATCACATAAAATCTGAAAATTAGACATGTGAATCTTTCACCTAAAATACGGTGCTTTAATTATTTAAAATTTAAATATTTTTATAGAGAAAAATATATAAAATAAAGTTGGTTTTAATCAAATTACAAAAATAGGCCTTTTTTTTCTTTATTGGAATATTTGTTGAAAATTAAATGGAAGGCAAATAATAAATTTAAAATTTTAATATTCAACGTTATATAAAATAAATAAATATTAAAAATTAAAGGCCGTCCATACCGGACGCACGCATTTGGTGAGCTTGAATTTCTCTTATTTGTTTATTCTTTATTATTATTATTATTATTATTATTATTATTATTATTATAATATATTCTTGAAATGTGTGAAATTTAGATAAGAATTGTTGATTTATACACTATTTATTAAATAAAAACTTCAATTAATTTATATTTTCCTTTAAAAAAACAACAATATGAGTTGAGACGATTTAAACACTGTTTTTATATTAGATTGATAAAAAGATAATATTTTTTATTTTTTTACGAAAACTTTAATTTTTAATTTTTATTTATTTAAAAACGAACATATCATTAAAAATCTATAATTAAAAATGTTAAATTATAACTTAAATACAAAAATATTTTTAATAAAAACTCTAATTTGATATTTCATATAATTTATTTATCTTTAACAATAAATTTTTTTTGAATTTACAGCTGGATTGCTTAAACTTCAACGAATATGTTTATTTAAGAAACACAAAACAACTTTGTAATATAATATAAACAAAAATTAAATAAAAGTTAAATAATTACTTTTAAAAAAAAACTAAATAATTATAAAAAAAGGCTGTTAGATTGTCATATTTTCTTTAAAAAAAAACATTAAATACTTAAACAAGAAAAGAGCGAAAATAATGGCCGTCAAGGACGGATCTTGAACCCCTGGGGATTTTATCATCGTGTTGGGTGGGCCCTACCTATGTAATAACCAAAAAAAAATATTAGAAAAAAAAAAAGAAATTTTGCTCGGTGTTTGACCTACCGTGTATAAGGTTCGAGTTGGAGAGTACACTTTCTAATAGCTTAATGCTAGCATTTTGGCTGATCCGTCTTGGATATGATACATTCGAACACTTTCTTTCTAGTTTCGATTCTTCGAAAGCTTTTAAGTTTAGTATGACTGTCTTTTAGCTCATTTAAATTTTTGAATAAATTCAAAGTATTTTAGGGAAAACTAGGTGAGTCAATTCTTATAGTAGAATTTTTTTTAATTTATGATTGTTAGACTTCTTAAATAGAATTAAATTTCAGAGAGCAACATTAAGCTAGCATCGAGTAACTCCTTAGGTAGAATTAAATTTCAGAGAGTAATGTTAAGCTAGCATCAAAGAGTCGTAGTAGTTTTGGCCTAAGTCAATCAAGTAAGTGACTTTACTATCGGCTTGGTTGGAAGACTTGTCTTATGTATGACTACACGTGCCCAGTGGCCCTTGCACGTATTATTTATGCTTCACGTTGTATGAAGATGTGATAACGTTATATGATGATGTGATGATGTACATGATATGATGATGATGAACGAAAGCATGATGATGTATGATGATGAGGATGACTTAATATGATGATATCCCATATTAAGATGATGTGCATGTATTAAATGTCATGATGCATTATGACAACGAGTTTTCTAAGACACAACCCTAATTAATATTAATGATGATGAACGTATGAAGGCAAATACTAGCATGTTACCTAGGGTAATGTGTGAATGATGTATAGGGTTGTGTCATA